TTACAGACTTTTACAAAGTCATAAGTAGACAAATATTGTGTAAATAAAAAAAATATTTATTAGGTATAGATATATACCCTTGCAAAGCCTCTAAGTTACAAAAATATTATTTATACGGAAGGTTTGGTAAAAAAGCCAGAAAGTTTCCAACTCTATTATTGGATATAATATTTTATCAAGAAAACTATTATACAATGTGTAACAAAAAGATGGGAAACATAGAATAATCTGTGATTTCTCAAGTCAAAATAAAGGGATTTTTTTTAATAAATAAAAATTACCTACTACCTAAGTATTTATAAAACAAAATTCGAAAATAGCCTTCTATTGCTTCGGTAAAATAGGCAGCTATAGAGTGTTTTACGGATCAAACATGCAACAAAATGTATATTATAATACCGGATGGTTAAATAACACAATTTTAGAGAATTTTTTTATTACTAGACAATTTTAAGTTGAAACTACAAAAATAGTTATTTATATTATAAGTGCAGTAAAAATAGTACATTATTTATTTATTTATATATTTTATTATTTTTTTCATTAATTAATTTATTTTTATTTTATTACCGTATATATTTTTAATTACTACATATTAAACATTTCTATTACCGATTTAAGTTTTTCCAAGTCTTTAACCAAGTCATAAGTGGGCAAATATTGTGTAAATAAAGAAGAATTTATTTAGAGAAATTTCAAGATAATATACTAGGAATATGGAAAAAATGTTTAAAAAATTCAATCTGTCAAAAAATTTTGACATTTATTTTTTGATATTTGATTTTTTTTATGTCTGTTTAATGATACTGATGATGTTGTGTATATTTTTTTACAATTATTTAGTAAAGATACAAAAATTTTGTTTCCTTGTTTCCTCTTCAAATAGCTTGTAGCAAATAAACTTGGAAAATTATTTTTCCAACAGAAATAAATAAAGTCAAAGTTCAAAATTTAAACTCTCATAACTTCAAAATTTTTATAGATAAAATTTTTCTCTGAAGCAAAAGTTCTGACGCATCGTGTATAAAAAAAAATTACGTAATGGCTATTCTGTTTGAAATATTTATTAATTTAGGTACTATTGCAAATTTATTATTGCCTCTAAGTTACAAAAAAAATATTTATACAGAAGGTTTGATAAAAAAGCCAAAAAGTTTCTAATTTCATTATTAGATAAGTACAAGATTTTACCAATGTATTATACAATGTGTAAAAAAAGGTAGGAGTCATGGAATAACCTGTAATTTCTCGGGTCAAAATAATGCGATTTTTTTTCAACAGAAACAAACATTATGTACTAAGTATTTATAAGACAAAATTAGAAAATATCGTTTTATTGCTTCTGTAGAATAGGCGGCTGTGGAGTATTTTTACAGATCAGTATAATACCGGATGGTTAAACAACAAAACTTAAGAGAATTTTTTTATTTCTAGACAATTTTAAGTAATAACTCCAAAAATAGTTATTTACATTAAAAGGGCAGTAAAAATAGTACATTATGTTATTAGGAGTAAAAGTGATTTATGTGACGAAACTGAACGTTTATGTTGCCAAACGTAGTGAGGCAAATTATTTATATGAACTCACTTTTACCATGAATACCATATACTATTTTTTTTATTTACTACTTTATTTATTTTATTTTATTTGTATTTTTAGAGACAAATTGACACGTTTTTGTCTTTTTTGCCCTCCATTATTCAATGTTGCCAACTTAATTGTAAATTCACAGGCAAAGTCACTTTGTTTAGAAATTTAATTAAGTAAATGGCGTATACTTGGTTTCAAAAAATGTTTATATTATTTTTTTCTTAACTACTTCCAAGTCTAGTTCAAGTCTCTACAGCTTTACAAATTGCAAAAATAAAAAATCGAGTTTTAAACAAAAATTGTTTTCTGAGTGTAAATTCTTAAATTTTAAGGTGACAATAGTACCTACCTATATGTTTTGTTATTTAATTTATAGTTTTTGAAAATTTTTTAGACACTTGTATAATGGACAATGGTATTTTTACTATTATAAAACTATTAAATAATTCCGAAAGTTTTTCTCTTTTTGCTCCTTTTGATGTGAGTAAGATCTATAGTTAGGTATAAGACAATTTTTTACAGAGATAAAAATCTAATTTCTTGCAGATAGATTTGTCATTAATTTTTTTTGGCATTTTGACTACAAGGTTTTTACAAAAAAAAACTATCCATATAGTTAACAGATATATTTAATTTTTTATTTGTTTACTTTGGTAGTATATCACTTAAAAAACTCTAAAATGTTTTAATTAAAAAAAATATAAAAATAAAAACATATTTACAAATTGTGTAATATACCAAAAACAGGAATGAATCACTGCCAACTTATTATTGGCCAGATTTATAGCAATTTAACACTCCAGACGTTCTTTATAGTCCTTGTACCTCAATAAATAAAATTTTTATTGTCTCTGAGGTGGCATTAATGATTTTTTCGTGTAAAATATGTTAATCAACTTTTATCACTGTCAAAATTTTGTATCTCCCACGAAACAAAAAGTAATCGAAATTAATTATGTTGTGAAACAGAAATGTAAATAAATGCAAATTATCGCTTTCAGTACATTTGTAGCTAATTATTGTACAAATGTATGAAAAATTGAAAGATTTTATCTCTTTTGTTTTAACACGCTTGCTTGAATGTAGCACAGATAATTTTACTCCATATATACAGAGTGAGTAAAACATGAATCGAATCACCAAGTATACACCGGACGTTTGTAAAAAAAGTGGCGTCACCAACTCGCTCTCTGAATCAATAACACCACAAGTGCTCGTCGCCATGTTGCAAAAAAATGAAATACAGGACGTCCCAATAAACAACAACATAAAAAACCACCCACAGATCGTAATTGATAAAGTGAGCTGTGTAAGGCTTCCAGTATATAACTGACGCCGACACCGATCCAGAAGGCAGTGGAAGAGGGCGTGGCGACAATACCCAACTGTCAAAGAGAGGGGGAGCAGTAAGCCAATCTGGGCGTGGCCTAACACTAATCTTTTCACAAAATCACGTCGTCTCACTCATTCGCATCGATAAAAACACGGCCAACTGTATAGGTATTTTATGTGATCGCGGTATGAAGAGGCCAACTTGATTTTACACATTAAATAGCTGTTAGCCGGGATAGTTATCGTTTAATCGCAATAGCCGTGGATTTTATGCTCACACAATAACCATCATAGCTGAAACAAAAAAAAAAAATAATCCGTGTTAATCGGGCGCGCCTCCAGGCGCTACTTTTGGTCCTCTCTTATCCTAATTAAATTATGGTTGTATTTTTCGGTTGTGCCGTCATGGCGCACGCTTAAAGCGGCGCGTCGCAAGCGTCGAGACGCTTTGCGTCAGTTAGCGGTGAAAGAACGGCGGATGAACGTCAACGGTGACTTGATTTCGAATATTTTTACCGAACGCTTTTGATATAAATATTATATAGTGAGAGGCGTCGACGGGGTGGGGGTGAGTATTGTTCTTTTTTTTAACGGACTAGGTGGGGAAAGCTGCTTTTTGCGTGTTGAGGTAATTGTTACGTTTAACTTATCTGATTTGGTGGAAAAGCTTTTAATAAATATACAAAAGTGTAAAGTGCTATTCTTACATCGTAAACGTCGGCACTTGTAATACCACAAGCATGCAAAGAAAGATATTTCGGTTTGTGTCATTTAAAGTGAGCCAAATTGGCATTCTTGAATAATTAGGTTGCAGTGTAAATTGGGCTTTTTACAATTTTTACAATTAAAAATCTTATTTAAGCATAATGTGGTATTTATGTGACGAGAGATAACATCTCCAGAGTTAAATTTGTTGTTTATGGCTGCTATGGCGGCGTTGATTAAAGTGCAGAGATCGGATTTTCTTAATTAGGTCCTCTTGCGTAAAAAGTTTTTTTTTTGAAAATTATTTTTTCAATTATTTTGATTCGTTAACTATTTTTTCATTTTTTTTGCAATTATCAAACTCACATGAAGATTTTGAAACATGTAATTTAGTCTGTGTTTCTATATTATACTTCTAAATTATTTCATGAAAATGTAAAGGCAATGAAAAGATTGGAATTTGATCCATATTTATAGATAATTAAGTACGTACGGGGTATAGTCTAAAAGTTTCTGGTTGTTCAACATTGCACCAAATATTGACAAATAAAATAACAGTTTTTAGTTAAATGTTTTGAGTTTAAAATCGTTTTTTAATATTTCCAAATTCTTTTTTTTTATTAACATAAAATCGATAAACAGGTTACTTACTAATTTTATAAAGTGTTATCACAAAAATCGGAGCAGTTTTAGATTTTTAAAATGTACAGACTGGATTATAATAAACGCCTCAAGTCATAACTTCATTATGTTTAAAAATATTACAATACATTTTTTTGATCAAAGTTGAACTATTTTTACAGTTTTAAATTGTTTAGGAACAATAGAGACTGTTGAAAAACAATTTAACAAAGAATCCAAAAATAAAAAAATATACAAAGTGTTCAATTAAAAAAAATGAGCATCTAGATATTCCAAAAAAATAGATCACAATAAATTATGTATTTTTTCTAAGAAGTATTGTCTGTCTTTAAAAATAAAGGATATGGCTTGTGACTTTTTTCATAATCCTGCTTCTATATCTGATTGAATTTAATTATGTAGTTTGTTTTTAATTTTTGATAAACGTTAATCAACATTTCTTTATCATCAGCACTGAAAAATAGAAGCAATTTTACATCAATTTAGAAAAATCTATTCACACATTAAACCTGTTTTTTGGAAGTAGAGTAGAAGAAGTTACTTATTATAATTAAAAATAATAAAAATAAAATTTGTGAAAACAAATTATGTATGTAGAAAAATATAGGTATAAAACACCTGAGTTGCTTAACATGTTTCAACAGTACACTTTTAAATAGATAAATTGACACTTTTTAAAATTAAGTAACGTTAAAAAAAACGTCGAATTTTAGTAAATTTTTGTTTTTTTTTTTTTCAAATTTTAAAATTATAAATCCACTCGTTATACCTGCACAAAATTCCAAATTCTAATTGGATGCATGCTCAATTGGCGTTTTTTCTTAATTTTGAATAAATTATAGAGTTCAGGTAAGCTTTAAAAATAAGTTCGAATTTTACACTTCTTTTTAGGACTGTTAGGTATACCTAACTTAAAAAAAAGTTTTCATAACATTTTAACAAACAAATGACATCTGTTCAATTGAGTACCTAACCACATGATTCGATTGCTTGTAAAATATTAAAATTTAATTTTAAATAAACACTGCAAGCAAAATTTATTCTAAGTTTCAGAAACGGTTTCATAGTTTAACAGTTAGGTATGCAAATAGTTAGAAAAGGAAACGACAAATTTGATTTAACACTTTTAAATTGATTTCACTTGTTGGAATTACATTGTTTGCAAAATTTATGTTTTTCACTTACTTACATAATAAATACTATTCAAATAAGTATTACCAAATCCTTATACCTACGAGAAATGGCAACACCGCAATTGTATTTTTTAAGATCAAATACCTAGTCTTGTATCGTCTTCAAAAAATTAAGTTTTATTTTTTGAGCTATTGTGTGTCTAAAACAAATAAAAACAGAAATAAAAATATTTTAGACGATGGAATTTCAACACTTAAACACAATTTGATAAATTGTTTTTAAACTATGTATTTAGCTGTATTAATTTTTTTCGTAGCTTTGTATAAAAAAAAATCATTTAATTGGTCTCTGGTAACAAATTCAGAACCAAGATAGCTCATTATTTGGGTATAAGTAAAAACAAACTTGAATGTTATTTTATAAAACAGAAAAAACAGTAAATATTTACCCAGAAAATAGTAAACATTAGAAAGAAAGTATGTAGTTGGAATAAAATGCAATAATCTTTTTAATCCAGAAAATATAAGATAAGGCACACGGTACGCAAATTGATTTTTCTTATAATGTAATTTGGCCTGTTAATAAATGCCAGTTTCTTGACCACAATTTTACATCTTCCAAACTTCTGTTAAATGTTTTTCCATTTCGTTTTTAACACTGACTGGCAAGAACACCAAATAGACATTTCTATTGATAGTTTTCTAACCTTTTTGGGAACAACCTTTTTCACACTATGTTAATCTCTGAAAAATTTGACAATTTTCTTTTTGACAATTTGCGTTTTTTTTGCACTCAAGTGTACCTACCTATTACAAAAACAAATACGTAATAAATAAATAAATAAATACTTATTACATGTAGGTATAATACTTTAAAAAGTAGTGTCTTGATTTTTAAGATGGAATAAAAAAAAATAATTTTCATAAGTAAGTCGTGGAAGGCTGGACCACCCAGTCCCTCCCATTATGTAAATAAGTTAACCCTTTAGTCTAAACAATTAAAAATGAAAATTTCCCCTCTAAAATGTTGTATTTGTAGATGTGGAGCCGTTCGTAAAGAGCAGTCCGTCCGCAAGCAGGCAACATCAATGTCGCCTCAGCAGAAAAAGGAAACCGTGTGACAAAAACCACTCGTAACGCCTCCATAGGCATAACCTCCTAACTCCTGCCCACCGTAAGTGTGAAAAGTGGGGGCGAAATGTCGCCGTCGGATTGGTGGAGCCGCTTGAGCTGACACCCTCGCGACCAATCGCGTCGCGTCCGTGTCATTAACACAGTCAGTGTCGAATCTGCGGGTTTCCTGCTATAGTCGTCGCTCACACTTAACCCGGGAAGGAGGTGTCAGACTTCACACTCACAACCACCCCGAGTTCACTCAGTGCTAGTGCGTGGTGCAGTGCGGTGATGTGATATACAGGGCCGGATTCGGATCATGCGTTTCGATACGACCCTGGAGCCACCCCTCGACGCCAAAGTGAAGACCACGATGGCCTACCACCCCTTCCTGCAGCTGCCGCGCCAGACGGACTTCAGCGTCAGCTCGCTGCTCACCGCCGCCTCCAGCAGCAATCCGGCGGCGTCGCCGCCCACGCCCGGATTCTTCCCGTCGGCGGCGCTCGCCGCCTTCGGATCGCAGACGTCGCACGGCTGCTACCCCGGCACGCTCATTCCCAAAATCAACCACCCCCATCCGCATCACGCGCTCTCGGGACACCCCTACACCACCGCCGAGGACGTGGTGCTGGCCGCCGTCGCCGCCCACAACCACCATCCGGGGATGGTGCGACCCCTCAGGGCGATACAACCAGAAGAAGATGGGGTGGTCGACGACCCCAAAGTCACACTTGAAGGAAAAGACCTCTGGGAAAAATTTCACAAACTAGGCACGGAAATGGTCATCACCAAAAGCGGCAGGTGAGTCACTCTTTCTACCCCAAAAAGTGAAACACCCAGTGTTTGACACAAAACAAAAATTAACAAATTGTGTGTGCTTGAAGAATTTAAAGTTGGCTGTGATAATTTGACAAAAATAAATTAAAACCGGCATAAATGTTCTTATAATAATATTTTAGATAAGAGTTGGCTGTGCAAATATTGTTGCTAACAAAAAAATTGTTAGTTTTGTCAAAAATTATTAATCGCGTCGGCTGCGAAAAACCGGTTCGTCAAATTTCACATTTGTGTTTTGTGTGCTTGAAGAATTTTATAGTTGGCTGTGAAAATTTGACAGTTGTGTACAGAAAAATAAATAAAATCCGGCATAAATGTTCTTAAGATAAGAGTTGGCTGTGCAAATGTCAGTTGTTAACAAAATTGTTAGTTTTGTCAAAAATTATTAATCGCGTCGGCTGCGAAAAACCAGTTTGTCAAATTTGACAGTTGTGTGCTTGAAGAATTTTATAGAGTTGGCTGAGAAAATTTGACAATTGTGTACAGAAAAATTAATAAAAACCGGCATAAATGTTCTTATAATAATATTTTAGATAAGAGTTGGCTGTGCAAATATGACAGTTATGTCAGTAGCTAACAAAAACATTGTTAGTTTTGTCAAAAATTATTAATCGCGTCGGCTGCGAAAAACCGGTTTGTCAAATTTGACAGTTGTGTCTTGTGTGCTTGAAGAATTTTATAGAGTTGGCTGTGAAAATTTGACAGTCGTGTACAGAAAAATAAATAAAAACCGGCATAAATGTTCTTGTAATAATATTTTAGATAAGAGTTGGCTGTGCAAATATGACAGTTATGTCAGTTGTTAACAAAAAAATTGTTATTTTAGTCAAAAATTGCGAAAAACCGGTTTATCAAATTTGACAGTTGTGTTTTGTGTGCTTGAAGAATTTTATAGAGTTGGCTGTGAAAATTTGACAGTTGTGTAAAGAAAAATTAATAAAAACCGGCATAAATGTTCTTATAATAATATTTTAGATAAGAGTTGGCTGTATAAATATGACAGTTATGTCAGTTGTTAACAAAATTGTTAGTTTTGTCAAAAATTATTAATCGCGTCGGCTGCGAAAAACCGGTTTGTCAAATTTGTAATAAAATAATTTGACTTCGATTGCACTGAAATATGTTAAAAGCCGCCTACGATCGAGGCGAATGAATGACTTTATTACGATTAATTTGAAAATATGAAACGATTATAAATTTTAAATGATTTCTAGCAATTTTCGCACATTTGTTTTGTTAAAAAGTTGTAATTAAAATTAGAATTGAGCCAATTATTATAGGCCATCCCTTCATTTCCCGACGCTTGTGGTTCGAGACAAGTTTTCACACTGTATAATAAATTATGACAAACATTAAATTTAATTCTGTGTTGCTCATTTGCTTTGTTTAGGTTAAATTTTAATTAGGCCTAAGTTGAAATTTATATCAAATTTTGAAATATTTCAAAGTTATTCAAGCATAACAGTTTGCCACTTCTTGACCTAACAATAATTTACGAAGTGTTTTTTTTTTGTGTGAAGAAAAGTTTGTTGCCTAACTGTTTGTTTCTGGAAAAAGAGCAAAGATTAATTATGTGAGATGCTAAATAGGAAATTAATTTCAACACGCGTGCAAGAAATATATCACAAGTTATCATATTCACTTAAATTTGAATATTTGAGATAAGTTCTCAAAGGAAAATTAGCTCGTAAAGAGTCTCGTATTATTTTAGTTAACGGCTTGAATAAAATTAACGTTTATCATTTAACAATGTTGTGGATGTTAATTTTTGATGGAAAAATTAATTTTGGCTGGTGCGAGTTTGAGTCATATTTCCAGGAACAATCTGTTTTTATTCCTTGAATTAAAAATTAAAATTTTTGTTATTATCAATTAATTCCCAGTATGAAATAATGGTTTTGTTTTTAACAATCCTGAAAATATTTGAAACGTAAAACGAGATAAAATTTCCGAATAGACGAAATTAATTTTTTTAAAAATGCGTTAGTATACGGGGTGTTTTATATAAAAATTTGATAATTCTTAAGTAATTAATTTGACTACTTTAGATATAGGGTATCGTCGGGAAAAAAAAACTGTTCATAATGAGATATACTTTGTAAAGGACAAACACACCTGTAAAAAATAAAATATTTCCTAAATTTACCCTAATGGCTTTAACTATAAAAAAATACAAAAATTGCCAAAACGTTTTTATTTTCTATGACACAGAGTGACTAAATTTAGCGTAAAATTATCACTATATTAACATTATCTTGATTAATAATAATATTAATTATAATAATTTATTTATTCTCTATTGCCTTATGGCGTAGAACACGTCAAAAAGAAAAATACGACTATACACAATTACAATAGTACATAGAACATATAAAATTTAATACAAACAATACAATACAAACACTTAATATAAAGAAAACAGTTTTTTCAAAGTTTATCTGTGAAGAATTCTTTAAGGTTGTAATAGCCTTTCGTTAATAAAATTTATTATAATTTACTATAATATTATTATAATTTTTTGAGAATTTATGTAGGGTAACTGAGGAAATCAAAATTAATTTTTGTAGATTGTTTAAATTTTTCAATAAATATTTTACAAGTAACTTACATACTTTTTCATCAAGAAGAGAAATTAGGTATCAAAGTTTAATATTTTTAAAATACTCTCTAATGAGTTAAATTTACTTTTAAACGTTTTTACATCTCTAAAAAACGATATTGATCCCATTGGAATTTTTCCGAATGTATCCTATGAATAATAATTAAAATATAGACGAAATAAAATATTTTCACATAAAATGTGAGCAAATTTTTATTTAAAACTGGCAGAGTTAAATAAAGTTAAAAATATTATTGTAAAATTCTACCTATATTTTTATGATTATCGCAGTATTATTATCTAAAGCGTTGGAATAGTAGGTAATAATAATTATAATAACTGAAATGGCTTTGAAAAACATTGTAAATAATTGCGTAAAAATTTTATTACACCTACAGGGTGCTTAAAATGTTGTTTTTTTTTGTGTTAGCCTTCTGTTTTTGAATCATCCTGTAGATATACTACATTTAAGGCTTTAAAACACCATATTTTGGCGAAAAATCGAATGTTAAGCAAATTGTAGCGTCATTCTGGTCGATAAGAAGGGCACTTCCTCTATGTATTTTCCAGTTTTTCTCCTGAAAGCGGAAAACCGCAACATCCTCTCATCCAGTATTTAATTATTTTCCTCTCAAAATACCATCTTTTTGCCACACACGCGTCTTAATTGGTGTTAAATTGAATTATTCCGAACAAACATCTTCCTGTTCCAAAAATCTGTTTCTCGTAAATTAGATGCACGTTTTCAGTTGAATTACGGCCGCGTCGACGTGTGAAAAAAACGCTTTCAGATTTATGAGTGTGTGCGCATGTTAAAAACGAGGTGCGTGATGGATTTTTTAATGAGCCGAAACGTCGTCGTCGTCGTCGTCGCTTCAAATCGATCATACCCACTGGCAAGATGGAAGCGGCGAAATCGGAACACGACCGAGCTTAACCCTTGTGTGTGTCGGCCAAGTGTTAAGGGTGCGAAGGGAGCCGATGTAAAGAGTACTAATTATTAGCACCCCTTAGTATACGGACTCTTGAAAACCCGTTCAGGGGATGAAAAATTGGGACATGCGAGACGGGATCAGACCGATAAAACGCAAAATTTACAAATAGGGTAAATTCGGGACACTTTGCACAAACGGGAGCTATACAGGGTGCGTCAGAACTCGCGTCAATTTTGTTAATCTTGCACAATCAAAATTTTGTAACAGAAAATAAGTGTTTCAAAGAAGATTTCTTAAACCAATTAAAATAAAGTTTGATCTAAATACACCTAACCTAACCCGAAATGTGATATCTATAAAACACTATAGTAATTTCGAAATCAGATTTTATTTAATCAAAGTTTTGGATATCCTTGACATAATGTTAACTGTCAATTTGACAATTTTTTTTTTAATATCAATAATAATAAAGCGGTTTTATTGAATTGTACATACAAGTAAATACAACTCAGGAGGCGAAATTTAGCAACTGCTATTCGTACTTAACTCCCTTAACAAAAAAATAATAATAATAATACCTAGTGAAACAAAAAAACAGTAAAGTAAATTAATAAAAAATTAAAAAATAGGACAAAAAAATAAAAAATTGCATTAAAGTTTAACTAAAATTAAGAAAAACTATTTACAAAGAAATAACAGGAAAAACCAAAAGTAAAAAACTAGAAGTTCTTAAAGTTTTTGTTGGACTTTTTTTATAGATGAGTAAAACATAACGTTATTAAGGTATCCATTTAAGTCAGATTTGTAATTTTAAACGAATCACCTTGTATAACACCAAAATAATATTTTTAAATATTTTTTGTAGAATATTTTTCTAAGGATGTCCAAAACATAGGTAATAATCGACAAGTAAAAATATTAAGTTCTATAAATTATTTTTGAGATTTGACATTTTTTAATGTCTATTTAAGGACACTGTTGATTTTGTATACGTTTTTTTATAATTATTTAGTAAAGATACAAAAAAAAGATTTGTAATTTTAAACGAATCACCTTGTATAACACCAAAATAATATTTTTAAATATTTTTTGTAGAACATTTTTCTAAGGATGTCCAAAACATAATAATCGACAAGTAAAAATATTATAAAAACATTAATATTATTCAATAAATTATTTTTGACATTTGACATTTTTTAATGTCTATTTAAAGACACTAATAATCTTGTATATGTTTTTTTTTATAATTATTTAGTAAAGGTACAACATTTTTTTCTAATAAAAGCCACAAATAATGTTAAACTTCTAATAGCCTGTAGCAAAAAAACTTGAAAAATTATTTTTTCAACAGAAATAAATAGTGTCAAAATGCAAAATTTAAGCTGTCTTTAAACTTTATTGATAGAATTTTTTCTGTTCCTGATATCTTA